GTGTGTTTTTGTTTTTGTGTGTGGTTAGTGCTCAGAGAGTGTGTTTTTTGTAGTTATGAGGTGGTAGGGGGGGGGGGGGGGGGGGGGGTGCTGCAGAAATAGTTAGTGTTTGCCACAAAAGCATGAGGACATGCATTTGATTCCCAGCACCCACATGAAAAGCTGAGTGTGGGGGCCGGAGAGATAGCTCAGTAGTTACAAGCACTGATTGCTCTTCCAGAGGACCTGGGTTTGATTCTCAGTACCCACATGACAGCTAACAGCCATCTGTAACTCCAGTTCCAAGGAGATTTAATGCCCTTTTTTGGCCTCTACAGGCTTTGCATGACACGGGTGCACTTACATACATGCAGACAAAACACTCGAACACATAAAATAAAAATAAATAATATTTTTTTAAAAAAGCTAGGTGTGGTGACATGTGCTTGTAATCCCAGCGCTTGGGAGGTGGAGACAGGCAGAGCCCTGGGCCTCAAAGGCCAGCAAACCTTGCCTAATGGGTGAGCCCCAAGTTCCAATGAGAGACCTTGTCTGAAAAAAACAGGATGGACAGCTCTTGAGGCTACAACAGCAGTTGATCTCTGGCTTACAGAGAAGGCACAAGGAGAGGACTAAGGAGAATTTTTTGCTTTAACTCTGTTTAAAATTAAAAAAAAAAACCTGTCCATTGATATTGTGGTTTGGCTGGGCATGTCTTGAAATTCCTTGTTTTAATATTATGAGTGACATTTGGATTCAGTGATGTTTGTGTTTTTGGTTTGGTTTGGGTCTGAAATAAAATAATTGCTTCTCTACATGGTTTGAACATGCCTTCCTTACTGGAATGGTCATACAACAATCTGAACTTCTTCATTGTTGGGTCTTGTCAGGTGAAGATACATTATTATTTTCCACAATGACTAAGTGTAATTTAGTGGAAAACATCTATCTCTAAGAGCTCTGACTTCCCTATTTAAGAAAAACAGAAATTGTGTAAAACTAGAGGGAACTTGGGCTATGAAATACTCCAAATACTTGGGCTATGAATATCCTGTGGAGTATTTGAAAAAAAATCCAGCTCCTTAGCCTTAAGAAGAAAGTGCCAAGAGCTAACACATGGAATTTGAAGGGGTGTCGTGTGAACAGGGAGCTGCTTTTGACACCTGGTGCCCTCAAGGACAAAAGTAGTGTCCACCGCCTTTGTAGGTGGTTGGTTGTGTCCACCATTCCCAGATTGCTGAACGGAGGGTGGCATTCTCAGAGGGAGGGAAACTTACCCTCCAACTCACACAGCAGAAACTCAGGGGGATTTCCCCAGGGGAAGTGCCTCCCAAGAAAAATATGTGAAAGATTGGGTGGGGAAAACTTTGGTTTAGGTAGAACCGCTTGTATGTGTGAGCACAGGCATGTGAGAGGAAAGAAAGACAATGTTGAAGATCTCAGAAATCAGGTTAGTGAGATGCCTGGGGGATGTTTTGGATTTCCCTCCAAAGCCCTTAGGCAGTGAGCAAAGGCATTTAAGCAGAAGGGTGAATGAACAGATGTGTGTTTGGAAAAGGTGAAGAGAAAGCTGGATGAGAGGGTGGTATGACAGGGTCACAGGCAGGCAGCTGGAGCAAACCTGATGAGGGACCCGGAGGGGAAGGATTCAGGAAATAATAAGAAATAAGCTGAATTTGGTGGCTGATTAGCTGTGTTGCTGCAGAAGGGTTTTAGAGAAAACTCAGTCAAGCAGTATGGTGAAGTAGTGACTTCAGTAGCATGTGGGAAGCCAGCGAAGCCAAGTTTGAGCCAGCTGAGTTTGAAGGGCCAGTGGGACTTACAAGGAAATGTCAGTATACTGTTGAGTGTGTGTTAAGGCTGGGGGAGATCTAGTAGACTGGGATGAAAACTCTGGGAAGAAGCAGTGGTTTTGGTGTTTGCAGTCTTAGGGAGTACAGTCCTTCCATCTCTCAAGTGGAGTATGCCACATGATCCATTTGGATACTAGGGGAATGTACTTGAATTTCCATGCAAGGCTTCGCTTTTTTTTTTTTTTGTCTTTTTGAGACAAGGTCTCCTTGTAGCCCCAGCTGTCCTGGAACTCATTATGTAGACCAGGCTGGCCTTGAACTCACAAAGATTCGCCTGCCTCTGCCTCCCAAGTGCTGGGATTAAAGGCATGTGTCACCACGCCCGGCATCTTTGCTTTTTTAAATCCTTTTTTGGGGAATAGGAATGATCAGCTGTTTTGTAGATGTCCTTGAATTTGGGTTTATGTCGGGTTTCTCATGATTAAATCGAGAAGAACACTATAGCAGTTAAAATTTTTATCAGTTTTGTAATACAGTACAGATATATAACCTAGTATAGTGTACATGTATTCCATATAATATATAGAGGTAAATAAGTGAGCTACTTTCTTTTTTTTTTTTTTTTTTTTTTTTTTGGTCTTTTTGAGAGAAGGTCTCCCTGTAGCCCCAGCTGGAGCTCTGTAACTTGCTGTGTAGACCAGGCTGGCCTCGAACTCACAGAGATCTGACTGCCTCTGCCTCCCAACTGCTGGGACTAAAGGCCATGCACCACCGCGTCTGGCTGCTACTTTCTATTTTCATGTTGAACAAGTGAAAAATCTAAAAAGTTTGGGCACCACAGCTTGAAAGAATGGGAAGAGAAGGCAACAGGAGAAGCAGTCAGAGGGGTTGGGGCCCTGCCTTCAGGAAGGCCAAGATACGATCTTCAAGGAGGGCGTTGCCAGTAACATGTATTAGGAAGTTAGATGACTAAGGGCAGAGAATGGTATTTAGGGTTTGGTTCTCTGTTTTAGTGGTGTGGGCAGAGACAGGACAAGGCTGTCCTATGAAGTGAAGACAGAAAAACAAAGGGGCTGACTACACTTCCAGGATCCTTCCTCTGAAGAGAACCATAGTTTGACTTGAAGATGCTTTTGTTTTGATAAGAGACTGGTAGGAACAAAAGGGATATTTTTGTTGGTTCTAAGTTTGGAATAGCAGCACCTTCCTTGGACTTGTTTTTGTGCTGACAAGAGGGGGAAATTGGTAGTTCAAAGTGTATTTACTGAGCACCATTGTGTCAGACACGGCTCTCAACCCTGGGGATGTATGAACAAGACACAGAAACCCCTACCTTCAAGATTACATTCTGCAGGGACATCTTTTTATGCCCCTCTCCTAAAGTCACCTATCTCTTATTGTCTGCACAGAACAGTGGCTTAGTAAACGGTGAATAAGTAACTTCTTAGATGGATGAATGAAGGTCCAGAAGAAATCTAAACAGAAGATTGTCTCCAACTAAAGAGTGACATTCTTTAAAGAGCAGCATTCTACCCTCTTGACAGGAGGGGGAAGGATAGGGGCTTGTGCAGATAATTTCTTGGTGGGGTGAGGAAGCAGGTAGCCCAGAATCTCTAGGCTTTCTTTGTGAAGCTAGAAACAGGTTATCTGGGAGACTGAATGGAGGAGGGAAAGCCTAGGACACTAGAAGGTAGGAAGCCAGGTTCAGTTCAAGACAAGGAAAAACTTCTCAAAGAACTGGAATGTTGGGACAATGGAGCTGATTTTTGGCAAAGTGTTTGTAAATAGAGGTGGCATTCCCCCATAGCTGGTGGTATTCAAGAACATTGCTCTAACAGGGATCCCAGAGATGTGATACCTCCAACATGCAGAAGTTTGGATGAGCCCATGACTAAGGCTTTCTAGGCGCCAGGCTTTGCTAAAGGAGTGTTGGGCAGGCCTGTTAGTTGAATCTAAGCACAAAGCTGAGGCAAAGTTATGTGGCAGAGCCTTGGGGTGGATGGAGTGGGACCACACCTCAAAACAAAGGTCAAAATATGGTTCCTTCAATATGTGTGCTACTTGGAAAGTATAGGCTTCTTGCTGCCTGACTTTCTTAGCCTTTATAACTGAGTGCCAAAGTGCCTGGGGTATTATGTTTTGAATTTTGCCCTGAAGGCTCTGTGCAGGACTGCTACTGGGTTAGAGAGCCAAGATGTCTGCTGGTTACAGGTATTCATTCCATTCTGCTAATTTTTTCATCAACCTTCACCTCAAAATTAGAAAATTCTCGTTCTGGCCCTGGGCTGAATTGAAACTCATAACTGGCATGTTGTATCAGCACCATCCTGAGGCCTTTATTTACTGTCAATACTGCAACACCGAAACATTCCGCTGTTGCTTCCTACTTCGTTCCCATATGCTGTCAGTGATACTTTGCTGAGGTCAAGGAAACAACACTGAGGCTTTACCAAAGCTTCATTTTCCCGTAGTGGGCTTGGCCAAGCTCTGTTTTAGATTTGGAGCTAATCTTTTCATAGGAAGCCAGAAGTTTCCATTAGCTACTTTTCCTGAGCTTATAGCTCAGTGGTGGAACGTTTGCCTTAGCATGCTCCAGGTCTTGGGTTCCACCCCTAGCACCACAAAAGCAGAACACCCAAAACACATGGGTGAAGAGGCCAAATACCCCACCCTTAGCTTCAAAGGGCATATAAATTAGTCCTTTTCTTCTTGTCCTTCATTTGAAATGCCAGATGCCATACACTTAGATTACAGGATAGTGGTTACAGATTAACGATTATAGGATACTTTTGACACAATAGTGTCATCTGAAAATACTATTCCTGGGACTTGGTTTTCTGATCTCTGAAGTATTTTATAGTCCAGCTGGTAATACATACATATGCACACTTGCCCTTGACAATCCGTACTAACCTGCCAAAGTCTTACAGTGAAATAGGAACTATACAAACTCGCTTATTTTAAAGAGAGGTCTGATAGAATAATTTAAAGATTTCAGGTTTCTTTTTAAAAACTTTTTATTGAATTTTTGTGCATTTCACACAATACATCTTGATCATATTTAGACCCTATCTGCCCTCCTCATAGCCCTCCCTTCCAGATTTCATGCATTCTGTCATATATGTTAAGGCCTGTAAGTTAACTTTATGTCTCCAAATATCCCTCAGTATGAATCCATTCCCTGGAGCCTGGTCAGCCTGCATGAAGCCTTGGGATTCATCACTCTGATTTCAGGTTTCTTTTTAGTGCCAGGATTTTGTCTTTTTGTTTTTTAATTTATAGAGAAATATCACTTATTTTTAATTCTAGCTAATTTTCCAAATACCTCTATTAAGAGCCATCTGTAGGAGGCTGTCTGGATCATTAGAGAAATCCTCTTTCTCTCCTTCAAGCTCTGGGAACATCATGGAAGAGAGGGTGGAAAGAATCTAAGAGCCAGTGGAAGGGTTGGAGTATTGCAGAACACTGTCTGCCCTGCCTGGCATGAATGGGGCACTCTTGAACTCAGAGCACCTGTAATTAGTTGCACAAAATTGGGCCCATCAGCATCCTGCTATGGAGTAGAGAGGGAGGGCTCATGAGGTCCCACTCCTTCCTGGGGATCTATAGGAAGTTAACAGTAGCTATGGCGGAGGGTTCATGAAGCTTCACTTCTCCATGAGAATTTACAGGCAGTTAATGGTTGCCTAGGGAAGGGGAGACATTTTCTTCAGCAGTGCTGCTGGTAAGGTGCTCATGTTCCTGTAAGCAACCCTAACTAAACTCATTGGTTCACCAGAAAAAAAAGAAGACATGAGAGTAGAAGGGCTACTAGCTACAAAGAAGAAGGAGTCAGTAGGAGTGAATATGATCAAAGTATGTATGTATAAAAATACAGTGAAACTCATTATACTCATTATACATAGTTAATATATGCTAATTTAAACAACTACACTTAAAAATCTGGGCGTGGTGGCACACGCCTTTAATCCCAGCACTCGGGAGGCAGAGGCAGGCGTATCTCTGTGAGTTCAAGGCCAGCCTGGTCTACATAGTGAGTTCCAGGACACCTGGGGCTACAGGGAGACCCTGTCTCAAAAAGACCAAAAAAAAATCCTCTTTCATAGTTACATGTGTACTTTTTTCCAACAGAATATGTGTACTTCAATTCTTAGAGTGAGAGTTGGGCATGGCGGCACACGCCTTTAGTCCCAGCACTCAGGAGGCAGAGGTAGGTGGATTTCTGTGAGTTCAAAGACACTCTGGTCTATATATCGAATTCCAGGCCAACTATGGCTATAGGGAGACTGTGTCTCAAAAATTTTTTTTAATTCTTAAGAGTGAGTGATACTTTGGGGAAAAATTCTGTTGCTGGGACTGGGGGTATAGCTCAAATTTGGGACTAGAGTTATTCCAAATATCTGGTAGCATGTGTGCTTATGCAGGAAGCCTGGGGCTTCATCCCTAGCTCCTACCCCAAATGACTTGATATTTAGGATTTAGCATTTTATCCAGTCATAATTTAGCATGTTAAGCCAGTGAGGAATAGAGGGGAATATGTTATATTTAATGAACTTCACAGTGTATGCAAAAGAATGATACTGATAATTCTTCTACCAATCTGCTTTCTCCTCAGGTGTTTTAGGAAATGAATTTAGCATATTAAGATCACCGGAGTCCGTTGTTTTCCGAAATGGAAATTGGCCTATAGCAGGAGAGCGAATCCCAGATGTGGCTGCACTCTCCATGGGCTTCTCTGTGAAAGAGGTATGTGTACTTAAAAATGTCTTTAAATGGGACTGGAGAGATGGCTCATCAATTAAGAGCCCTGGCTGCTCTTGCAGAGGACCTGGGTTCAGTTCCCAGCACCCACATGGCAGCTAACAACCGTCCATAATTCCAGTTCCAGGGATCCAACACCTTCTTCTGACCTCTGCAGGCATTACAAGCACTGGTGGACTTACATACATGCAGGCTAAACACTCATACACATAAAAAATAAATAAATAAATAAAAATTTTAAGTCTGTAACTGCTCCTAAAAACATGCTCATAGGTTTCTCCTAATAGTCTTCTTTGACTGTTACTACAAACATGCACAGGTACATTCACCACAGATTACAAAAGTTTAAAAGCTCATTTGTATTTGGGGAGATTTTAGAAAGTGCTTCAAGTTTCTGAAACCAAGTCATCACAAATCTTAACAATGTAATTGTTTATTCATCATAGAGAGAATGTATATAAGGATGCATCTGTCTTGTTTTAGCCTTAACATTTAGGTATATTTTTAATTGACATGCAGTCATTTACATATTATAGATGTCCTGCTATCAATAGGCTGTATCACTTTTTTAGCGTGGCTGATAAATTTGCTACAAATGATAAACTGCCTATGTATGTGAGGTTAGGAAAATAATGCAGCCAGTAGCTGTGGGGGAGCCCAGGGCTTTGGCTCCCTAGAATGATGCTCTGACCCACAGTAGTCCCTGGCTACTGATGGAACTATAGCAGAGGGGTCTGGATCCAGTCAGTCCAAGAGGCCTAAAGCTCAGAGCTTAGGAGTAAGAGATGCTAATTGATCTGTCTTGCTGTCATACTCTCTTGTCATTCTATAAGATGACTGCTTTTGCATGAACAGGAAAATAGTTTGCAGTCTGGAACATGAAAAGTACCTAGGTTTTATTTACTTGCTTGCTTTTTTCCACAAAAGTTTTGAGATAACTTTCTATTAGGTTTTGTTTCAGCTGAGTGCAATTTTGATGAAATGAAGAAGGTAGACATTAGTGCCCCGGCTTAGGAGATAGTAGCTGCTGCCTTCAATAAGTTGTTTGCTTTCCCTTTACATTTTCTGGCCAGTGTTACTCTAGAACCTTCACTCTGCTTCTTAGGTGTTAACTAGGAGATGGTTTCCCACTTGATAATTTAATTAAGCACCATTTTATGCTTTTCAATATTTAGGACCTATCTTGGCCGGGACTTGCGGTGGGTAACCTATTCCACCGGCCCCGGGCCACCATCATGGTGATGGTGAAGGGAGTGGACAAACTGGCTCTCCCCACAGGCAGTATCATCTCCTACCCTTTGGAGAATGTGAGTATTTCTTACATAAACAAATGAACTGGATGCATTTAAAACTCTCTGACAGTTGACTTTATGAACGCAAGTGATCTCTATCCAGTAGTACCAATAGCTCCCAAGATTAGTCTTACTACTCTCTTGAATATTATCCCAGTGTTGATCTAAGTGTGCAATCTTATTGCAGTATCTTCATATACGTGTGTGTGTGTGTGTGTGTGTGTGTGTGTGTGTAATTTCAATCTCCGTATCTTTTTTAAAACTTGCTTTACTATCCTGCTTGTTTTCTCATTAAAAAAATCAATTGCACTCTAAACACACCCCTATTTTTTAGTGCTGTTTCTGTAAAACCCAATTTCTTTTGAAAGCAACAGGGTTTTTTGCAAAAAAAATTATATGGTGGGTGTAAATCTACTTAAACTTGGCCATTGTTTATGGAGGAGAGTCCCTTCTAAGGCAAGATATCGCCTCCCTTCAGACAGTTGGAGGCTTGGTAAACTGAGCCACTCAAAGAAAACCAGTTGAGGATATTGTCCTGACATTTTGGAGGTATCATCTTGTCACCTTCCCTTCAGAATTGTACCTCTGAGGCTGTTTGCTGACTCACTTGTTCCTTGACTGGCCTTCATTCCGGTAATGTGGGTGAGTGGACCAAGCTGATGTGAGTCTCTCCTTCCACTGCAAGCATATATGAGTGCTGAATAAAATGCCACATATTTCTGTATTTTCATAGACAGCAAGACAGGGGTCCATGCAGATGCAAGAGTGGCCAGAGAGGAAGGGGTCACACTGGTGAGCAGAAACTGATGCTGAAATTTTATTCTCTGCAGAGGCTAGGAACCGTAAAATGCTGTGCATATGTTCTTGAGAAGAGGACTAGTAAAATTCCAGCTGCCCCACAGCCGCCACAGAATGGCTGGCTTGCCACCCTTGGCTGTGAGACCCAAAGAGTCGTCTGAGAAAAGTCAGAATTACAAGTGTAGAGAGGTTCTGTCCACACTCAGATAATCCAGCCTTTTAGGGTACCTCCACAGCCAGGGCTCCTTTGATTGAAAATTGAAGGTGAGTTGAATTTACAAAGCACTTTAAAAGAAAAAACAAAAAAACAGGTGTGGTAAATAATTCATTCCCCTGGACCTACTGTTAACAGATCAATCACAAAGAAATTAAAAATACATTAGGGCTGGGGATGTAACTGAGTAGTAGAGCACTTGCCTAGTATGCAAAGGTCCTGCACTGCCAAACAACAAATGCATATATTAAAACTGTGGAAGTTAAAGGGAAGAATGAGGCAACTATGTAACTATGAGGCAGTTATAAGGCATTTTTGATGGGTGGTATTTTTGTTATTTTATTTTATAATGTAGATTGTGATTCTTTTAACCCATGCATTATTTATAAATGTTTTTCATTGTCACATATATTAATTATTTTTCAATAATTTCTGTTTTCATTTCCAATTGCATTATATTGTGAAACCGATATATGTTATGCTCACTTTGGGGAAACTTTTTAAAACTTTCCTGTGGTCTACTGTACACTGTTTTTAAGCATATGTGGCATACTTATATTGAAAAAAAACATATGGGCTGGAACTACATTAATAGCTCAGTAGTAGAGCACTTGCCTAGCATGTATAAGGGCCTTAGGTTCAATCCTAGCATCACAAAATAAAAACATTTTTAAAATAAGACTAGAGAGAGGATATAGCAGTTAAGAGCACAAACTGCCCTTGCAGAGGACCCATGTTCAATTCATGTTGAAGAACCAGTGTTTGTAATACTAAAACCTGGGAAGCTGAGGCAGGAGGATTGGTGCAAATTTGAGTCCAGTCTTGGCTACTTAGTGAGTTTGAGGCCAGCCTGGGCCTCAAAGTGGCTACAAAGTGATACTCTGTCTCAGAAACACCAGAAAAGATGTATTTGAGTCAGTGTAGCCCTTTTCTCCACCCACTCCCCCATGTGGTCCCTGATAACTATCATGTTGTTCTCTGCTTCTGTGAGGTCAGCTTTCTTAGATTCCACCTGTGAGTAGATTGTGTGGTATTTGTCCTTCAGTATCAGGCTTATTTCAGTTAGCATAATGTTCTTCGAATTTACCCATGCTGCCACAAAACACAAGACCTCCCTCCACCCCTCTCCTGCCACCCTAGGGAGTTAATATATATATTATTATATATAATATATTATATATCTATTATATATATTACATTTTCTTTTTTGGTGCTGGGATAAAACCCAGGACCTCTTGTATACTAGGCAAGTACCATAGCACTGAGCTACACCTTCAGCCCTACCACATTTTCTTTATTCATTCTTCTGATATGGACACTTAGTATGCTTAGCTGTTGTGACTAGGGCTGCAGTGAACATGGGAAGAAATTGGTAGTTCCTTTAGCTATATACCCTGGGGGCTGGAGAAATGCCTCAGTGATTAAGAGTGTTTGCTGCTCTTGCAGAGGACCCAGGCTCAGTTCCCAGCACCTCACAACTACCTGTAACTCCAGTTCCAAGGGATCCAACACCCCTGTCTGGCCTCTATAGGCTCCTACATGCACATGGTGCATATACATACATTCATGTCCACAGATAAAATAAAAAATAAATCCTTAGATATATTCCCAGAAGTAGAATTACTGGAGCATGCTTTAGTGTTATAATTCACAGAGTGGTGGTTTCTATGATAAATAAAAATGTGTTGTATATTTTAAAGTTGTATGTTAGATTTCAAGTGTTTTACCACACAAAATAATGATAAGGATATAAGATAATGGACCTGTTAATTAGCCTAATTTAATCATTCCATGCTGTAAGTATATTTCACAGTATCACATTGTACTCCATAAATAGATAAAATTGTTACTTATCAATTAAAAATAAAATAAGAGGGCTAAGGAGATAGCCTCAGTTCAATCCCCAGAACCCAGGTAAAAATGCCAGGCATGGTGGCATGTTCCAGCACTGGGCAGATGGAGATAGCAGGATCCCTGGTGCTTGCTAGCCAGCCAGTCTAGCCTAATTGGTGACCTCCAGGCCAATGAGAGACTCTGTCTCAAAGAAAGTAGACATTATTTCTAAGGATGACACCCAGAGTTGTCCTCTGATGTCCATATGCACGCATACATGTGTGCCTGTACATGCACACATACACATGCATAAGGTAAGTATTTAGAAATAGTAAGAAAAAATGACTCCTCACATCTACAACAAACTGAATACCCAGTAGGTTAAAGCCACATCAATGCCTATATATAGTGAAATGGAAACATCTCCAAGGACATGGAAGATCTTAAAAGTCATCAGAGATAGGCCGGGCGTGGTGGCGCATGCCTTTAATCCCAGCACTCAGGAGGCAGAGGCAGGAGGATCTCTGTGAGTTCAAGGCCAGCCTGGTCTACATAGTGAGTTCCAGGACAGCTCGGGCTACAGGAAGACCCTGTCTCAAAAAGACCCAAAAAAAGTCATCAGAGAGAAAAGGCATTGTCATCACTAAGAAATGAGAGTAGATTGGTAGATTTCTCAGCACTGCCATTGTGAACCAGAAGACCAAAAAAGGAAAAGCAGTGGTTGTGTAGTATCAAGCTAGGCTGCAAATAATATTTACTTAGTCCTAAGAATGAAGGGCTACTGGTCCAGTGCAAATCCCACAAAAATTCTGTAACTATTGAGGTTGAGTAGAGTAAACAGCATGGAAGAGGCAGACGACAGGGCAGTGGTTGGTGATACGGACAGACTAAATGTTCATTCTCTACAATGGATGGTAAATGGATAATGCCTAAACTGGAAAGATCAAGATACAGTAATGTATGTGTCTTACTTCGAGATAGTGGTGTAAAAAACAGAACAAAACAGGAAAGCACTTAAAGGGCATGAGAGTGCCTCTGGGGAATGGGAGATGAGGGGAGGGGCAAATTTATTTTTCATAAAAGTCTCATAGAACTATTTATCGCTAAACCATGTTATACAGTATGGCTCTTGAAAATTCAGTTATTTTAAACAGGAAAAAAACAGCTGAAATAGATACACTGCTAAATGATTCATAAGTTGAAGAGGAAGGAAGTCACTGGAAATTCCAAAATTATTTAGAGCTGAATAACAGTAAATGTACTGTATATTTAAGAACTGCAGGTTGCAGTTGAAGGGGTGTGAAAGCTGTAAATGCACAAGCTAGACATTTAGATCATCTGAGATTGAAGATTAATGAGCTAAAGAAAGCAGAAAAATAGGCCGGGCGTGGTGGTGCGTGCCTTGAGTCCCAGCACTTCTGAGGCGGAGGCAGGCAGAGCTCTGTGAGTTTGAGGCCAGCCTGGTCTACATAGCGAGTTCCAGGCCAGCTGGGGCTACAGGGAGACCCTGTCTCAAAAAGACCAAAAAAAGGAAAGAAAAGAAAGCAGAAAAGTTCCAGTGTAAATGCAAGTAAAGTAGAAGGAGAGAACAATAAAAAGCAAAAGGCAGCTTCTTTTCACCAGGAATATTTCTGCAGTTTATTATCTGACTCTGAAAATCACCATAGATTTCCTTTATACATACATACATACATACATACATACATACATACATACGTATCCAGAACATCATGTAAACACAGGGTCTCATGTAGCCCAGGCTGGCCTTGAAGTCACTGTGTAGCCAAGGATGACCTTCAGCTTCTGAGCCTCCTGCCTCTTTCTGCCAAGTGCTGAGATTGCAGGTGTCCACCATCATGCCTGGTTTAAAGCAGTGCTGGTGACTGAACCCAGAGCTTCTTGCATGCTAGGCAAGCAACTCTACTAACTGAGCTACATCCCCAGCCAAACTAAGTAGTTTAAAGCAGACTAGCCTTACTTTACCTTAGAAGAAGCTCTGAGAAGAGCTTACTTTATTGCTTGACCTTGATTGGCTGTTTATGATACTTTTCCCGGCAGAAAATAGGGAATGAGATAGAAAACCCAGAGGGCAGACTCCACAAAATCTAAAGCCAGGAATACCTTTGAATTCTATTTAGCAGAAGCTTCCTTTTGATGAGCTAGCTGTTCTTCTAGAGGCTGGGGTGATACTAATACAGAAAATCCTGGGGAACATACAAAGCTTTATAATGTAGTGGGAGAAAACAGTCTGTAAGTTCAACCCACCCAGGCGCTTTACCTTTAGAACTTGGCAGACTGTGTAATTATTTCCTTTCCTTCCCAGTCTGTCTGCCTTTCATTGAATTCATTAGCTTTTCCAGTTTGACTGTTAGGAACATGTCCTTCAGTGTTCACCTCTCCTGACCCAAGTGCCGTTTCACTGGGTGAAATGAGGCTGGGGAGTTTGTATCATACATGTTCCCTCACAAGCCTGAGGAGGTGAACATCGTAATCATAAAGGAAAGCACTTGCAGTGACTCTGGGGGTAGAGGATGGTGACAGCATGCTTCGGCAAGTTGGACTGTTCTTCCTCGTCTTCAGTTTCTCAGTAACCAACTCATTTTCAGAGCAGTTTGGGAAGATTTAGTATGCATCTTGAGTAACAAAAAAATTGACTTCATTTCATAGAATCATGAAATTGACCAGCTTAATTTTGATGCTGGTATTTCTTCAGTAAGGTTTATATAATCACATTGATTTCTGCCTGTACTGCATTAGCATTAATTTGCTGCATATAAACAAGAACCTGTAAGTAGTAAATGGAACTACTGGAAGAAAAGTCACTAAGAAATCTCCATTAAAAGAAAAATGTGCTAGGCACAGTGTTACACACCTATAATCCAGATACCTGGGAGGTAGAAGCAGGATTGCACATTTGAGGCCAGCCTAGGCTATATAATGAGTTTGATGCCAGTCTGAGCTATTCCTGTTTAAAACATGCTGTTTGTTTTAATATAGTAATATCAGAAGTAAAATAATTTTTGAGAGAAAAATTATTGCAATTTATTTTTTTTTTAATAATGTAGAGCAAAACAAACCTGCGGGCATAGAAGCCCAAATTTTGGTTACTCCTGAGGGTAGAGGTGGGTGCTTGAAGCACTGCTGATGTTCTATCTTAAGATCTACTCGAGCAATGAGAGTGCAGCCATTTACAAACATTTAGCTCCTTATCCAGGGTTTATGCACTATATTGTATATATGTTTCACTTTAATAAAAAATTCAAGTAAAAAATAGGTCTTGGGGCTGGCAAGATGACTCAGTGGTCAAAAGTGCTTGCCGTGCATGCCTGGTAACCTGAGTTTGATCCTCGGAGTCCACATAAAGGTGGAAAAAACACTAATGCCACAAAGTTATCCTCTGACACCCACATATGTACCATGGCATGCGCATGCCCACAAACACAAGTACACACACAGTAATAAATTTTTAAATTTTTTAAAGTAGGTCTTAGGCCATGCATGCTAGTGCACGCCTTTAGTCCCAGCACTTGGGAGGCAGAGGCAGGCAGATCTCTGTGAGTTTGAGGCCAGCCTGGTCTACCTAGCGAGTTCCAGGTCAGCTGGGGCTATCCTGTCTCAATAAGACAAAAAAAAGTAGATCTTGGGGCCTGGAAAGATAGCTCAGCTGTTAAGAGCACTGGCTGCTCTTGCAGAGGACCCCAGTTTGATTCCCAGCACCCACATGGCAGCTAACAACTGTCTGTAACTCCAGTTCTAGGGGATTCAATGCCTTCTCTGCAGGCATTGCACGACACATGTGCACTTACATACATGCAGTCAGCTTACTCATACACATAATATAAAAATAATAAATAGGGGCTGGAGAGATGGCTCAGTGGTTAAGAACACTAGTTGTTCTCGCAGAAGACCCGGGTTCAAATCCCAGCACACACATGGCAGCTAACAACTGTCTGTAACTCCAGTCCCAGGGAATCCGATGGCCTCTTCTGTCCTCCTTGGGCATTGCATGACATGGGTGCACTTACCTACATGCAGGCAATACACTCATACACATAAAAAGAAAAAAATATTTTTAAATAAATAAATAAAAGACTTTTTAAAAATAAGATTAAAAAGTAGGTCTTGCCACATTTGGTTATTTCAGTCTAATATTATATGGTCCTTAAAAACCTTAAGAATCTGTTGGTAGGACCAGTAAGATGGCTCAGTGGGTAAAGGCACTTGCTGCCAAGCCTGACAGACTACCTGAGTTTAATCTATATAACCCACATTGTGGGTTCTGACCTCCACACACACCATAGCACACGTCCCCACACAGATACACTCAAAGACACTTCACTCTGTCTTAAGATGAACACTAATCTTATTAAACACTTTTTAATTTTAAAATTTCCAAAATGAACTAGGTGTGATGGCCTTTAATTCCAGCACTCAGGAAGCAGAGGCAGATGGATCTTTATGAGATCAGGGCCAGTCTGGTCTACATAGTGAGTTCCAGGCCAGCTGGGCTGCAGGGACACCCTGTCTCAAAAAACCAAACCAAACAAAGAACATTTCAAAATTAGGCCTTTCAATCAAATTCAGTACCTTAGGTTTACTCAAATCTTGTCTTCTAATGCAAGCAAATAATTTATAGTGACATCTACATTCTTTGTGGCACATTTAATTGATGTTGAAACTAAATGCATTACTCTTTTTTGGGGGGGGTCTTTTTGAGACAGGGTCTCCCTGTAGCCCCAGCTGTCCTGGAACTCACGATGTAGACCAGGCTGGCCTTGAACTCCCAGAGATCCGCCTGCCTCTGCCTCCCGAGTGCTGGGATTAAAGGTGTGCACCACCACACCCGGCCACATTACTCTTTTTTTTAAGTTTTATTTATTATTTTTATTTTATGTGTATGCGTGTATTGCCTATATGTAGGTAAGTGCACCCGTGTCGTGCAATGCCCGAGGAAGTCAGAAGAGGCTGTTGGATCCCCTGGGACTGGAGTTACGGACAGTTGTTAGCTGCCATGTGGGTGCTGGGATTCGAACCCTGGTCTTCTGCAAGAACAACCAGTGTTCTTAACCACTGAGCCATCTCTCCAGCCCCTAAATGCATTACTCTTTTTAAAATGCACAAATAAAACTGGGCATATTTGTACTCACCTGTAATTCCAGCACTTTGGAGGTGGAAACAGGAAGATCAGAAGTTCAAGCTCATTCTCAGTTACATACTGACTTCAAGCGAGGCCAGCCTAGGCTACAGGAGGCTCTGTCTCAAAAAAAAAAAAAAAAGCCTCCCCCTCCAGAAATATACAAATGGTCACCAACAATAGTTTGTGTTTAATAGTGCCCCATCTTTTAGGTTTTCAAATATTTCTCATTTAGGCATACTGGGAGATACACACTGGGGCTGTTTAATCCTCTGGGCCTTCCAAAGGGCCCTTTTGTGTTTGGAAATGATTTGAGTCTTCTAAATCGCCATTAAAAAGGCTGGTGCTCTGATGGAGTTATAAAGAAGAATTAAATCATGTCATTTGCAGAAAAAATGGGTCATGTATAGAAACTAGAGTTTAAATTCATTTGTAGGAACTAGAATTTAAAAACAAGTAGAGAGACTGGGGAAAACTGGGGAGGAAGGAGAAAGAAGAGAGAGACGGAGGAGGGGAAGGAAAGGTAGGCACGCTCAAAGCATGGTGTGTGGAAACATGGAAATGTCATAATGAAGCCTATTAATATGCACGATAAGTACACACCAATAATCATTTAGAATACTGCTGCCTCCCCCACCCCCCTTGCAACTCCATTCAGCAAATAACTTCGGTTTTACTCTTGCATTTCAGGCAGTTCCTTTTAGTCTTGACAGTGTTGCAAATTCCATTCATTCTCTATTTTCTGAAGAAACTCCTGTAGTTTTGCAGTTGGCTCCCAGTGAGGAAGTAAGTGACCAAGTTTTTATTCAAGATCCTTAAAAATAAGCTTTTGTCATTAAATGAAAATTTGAAACTAATTTTATGAAAAATGCTGTCTGATGCTGGGCGTGGTGGCGCACATCTTTAGTCCCAGCACTTGGGAGGCAGAAGCAGGTGGATCTCTGTGAGTTCGAGACCAGCCTGGTCTCCATAGTGAGTTCAGGCCAGCTGGGACTACAGGGAGACCCTGTCTCAAAAAGACTAAAAAAAGAAAAGAAAAATGCTGTATATTGGAATAAATTCGTAGAAGGCAATTAAGCTACAATTGTGAATTCTTCTTGTAGAGAGTGTATATGGTGGGGAAAGCAAACTCGGTGTTCGAAGATCTCTCAGTCACATTACGACAGCTGCGTAACCGCCTCTTTCAAGAAAACTCCGTGCTCAACTCACTTCCCCTCAATTCTCTAAGTAGGAACAATGAAGTAAGTGGTGCAGTTGTTGACTAAATAAATGAATATCATCATTAATTTTCCATTCCTTATGCTACCTGAAACACTGGAGAGATTGAAGTTGTAGAAAATGAAAAACTAACTGTACAGATTTACTGCTGGAGTTCATTCTTCTTTCTGTTGGCATAAGGTTTTAGATAATCTCATAAATAAACATCTTTCTGTGAATTGAGCTTAGTAAATACTATTACATTCTAGCTCCAAGGTTCCCAGTTGGTCCAGACAGGCCAGATACTAGAATCTATGCTTGGTGGCTAGTTGAGCTGTGTAGACCTGGTGACTTGATGCCGTCATTCATGGCCGTTGCTAATGCAGGGCCACATTGTTCTTGTACATTCTGGATGTTACAGTAGAGGAAGCCACCCCTACTTTGACTCCTGTCTTCAGCTTCACTATCTGCTCATGCACTCCCCTAAGTAAATGGCATGTCGCCTTTTTTTTAAGCATCTTTTTTTGTTGGTTTTTTTTTGAGGGGAGGGTGTTTGGTTTTTTTTTTTTTTTTTTTTTTTTTTTTTTTTTACAGTCTCCCTAGTCCCAGCCTGCCTGGAAATCATTATGTAATCAGGCTGGCCTGGATCTCACAGAGATCTGCCTGCCTCTGCCTCCCGAGGGTTGTGATTAAAGGAACTCACCACCATGCCAAGCTGGCATGCCACCTTTGTGGAGGCCTCCCCTCTATCTACTGTGAAGGACCAGGAACCACCATTCTTTACTCTCTGGTGTGGAAAGTGTTGAAGTAAACTGGTCCACTGGGAGGATCTCATTGTAATGTCTGGGGAGCCCTGGATCCCCTGAGGGAAAACCACGGTAGTGTTGTTGCTCGGGCTCCACACTGTCAGAAATGAAGCCATTGAGTGTTGAGTGTTGAGTGGCAGTCATTGTACAGGGTAGTGGCCATCACCTTTTTGGTAGGAAGCAATGTTTTACATGCATCTTTTTCTGGTTTGGGGCCTCGAGCCCATTCTAAGCAATTCCTTACCACTGACCCCAGCCTCATGCTTCAATTCCAGTGAATCTACCAAAGGGAGGAAAACTGTAAGTTTCACTTATCTGATTAGCATTTGTAATATCTTGTACTTAATAAATGGTAAGTATGGATCTCTGGTATATATTTAAAATAATGCCCTTTTTTGGCTCTCTGAAGGTTGACTTGCTCTTTCTCTCTGAACTACAAGTGCTACATGATATTTCAAGTTTGGTAAGTAGGCTTCTCAGACTTGCCAGTTCCATTTGTTTTGATGCCTAGAAAATAAAGATTTAAGTGATAGTGAGGTCAGTTGAAAAGTTGAAATATGCCCTAGATTTATGATCACATGAAAACTGAGAAATTAGTAGTGGTATGGGAAATTCTGAACTCATGTTGGTGTTCAATTCTTCATTTCTACCTTCAGGAGAGACTACAAATCCTCAAAGAATGTAGACTCAGGTGTAACACTATCCAGACTATATAGTTCTGAGTTGACCATTCATTTCTTACGAGACATTAAGACTTAATTCCTTTATCTATAGCTTTGGGTCAAAAATACAAATAACAGTTTGGATAAATAATACTGTTAACTAAGTCAAGAAAAGAAAAAATATCTGCAAAGTATTTTTTGGTGAATGACTTTTTCTCTTTTTTGAGACAGAGTCTCCCTGTAGCCCCCAACTGGCCTCGCACTCACAGAGATCCGCCTGCCTCTGCCTCCCAGTGCTGGGACTAAACGTGTGTGCCACCACACCCGGCCTTGGTAAATGCCTTTTTTTTTTATGTGTATGTGTGCATTGCCTGCATGTAGGTAAGTGTACCCATGTCGTGCAGTGCCCACGGAGGAGAGAAGAGGCCATTGGATCCCCTGGAACTGGAGTTACAGACAGTTGTTAGTTGTCATGTGGGTGCTGGGATTCGAACCCAGGTCTTCTGCAAGAACAGACAGTATTCTTAACCACTGAGCCATCTCTCCAGCCCCATCAATGTGGTTAGCACTTTTATTTAATGCTCAAGGAATTCTGTAGCTGCTCTCCAAAATGAAATTTGTGTTGGATTTATCAGAGACCCATATAAGGAAGTTCCCTTTGCCACCATTTTAAATGTTTTTAACTATATTTTAATATATATATATATTTTAATATTATGTGTATGCATGTATTGCTTACATGTATGTAAGTACACATGTGTTATGCAATAACTGCAGAGGTCAGAAGGGGGCATCGGATACCCTGGAACTGGAGTTATGACGGTTGTTAGCCACCATGTGAGTTCTGGGAACCGAACTCAGGTCCTCTGCAAGAGTCATCAGTGCTCCTAACTGCTGAGCCATCTCTCCAACCCCCTAGTTTTTAACTGCTTTAAACTGGCACACTGTTACAGTTCTCTGGTAGCCTAGTGTATTTCAGGTATAAAGCTTCAGCTGGTTGTATGTGACGTCTTAGCTTAATCTACTACCTTTTTAAATTTTCTTTGTTCTAAGTTGTCTCGTCATAAGCATCTAGCCAAGGACCATTCTCCTGACTTGTATTCACTGGAGCTGGCAGGTTTGGATGAAATTGTGAAGCGTTATGGGGAAGACTCTGAACAGTTCAGGGATGCTTCTAGGATCCTTGTTGATGCTCTGCAAAAGGTAAATACCAGTGCGGTAAGAGCAGTTGAAGTATCACCATTTTAGTCTCTTTGTGGAAGAATCTTTCATGAAACACTGTTCATTGACATCTCCCCCCCCCCCTTCTTCTGTGCAAGGGTGGAACCCTGGGCCTCACACATGCTAGGCAGGCACTTTGCCACTGAGCCATACCTCCAGCCCAACTGAAGTTGTCCTTGACTTCTTTGAAGGTTCTTTAATTATAGCAGCCAAGAATAGTATAGAGGTAGAAATCTGAATATAGCTCAGTGGTAGAGCCCTTTGCCTAGCATGATAAGGGCCCTAAATTCAATTCCCAGTACCACCACCAAAACAAAAAGGAATAGTGTAGGGTTAGAGGTGTATATTGGGAACTGGATGTAATAACATATGCCTGGAATCCCAGCATATGGTGGAGGTGGCAAGAGGATCACAAGTTTGAGGCCAGCCTGGGCTACATAGTGAGACCCTGTCTCAAAAAGCCAGAATTAGTCACTCAAGAAGTGTATGTTGGGGCTGGGCGTGGTGGCACACGCCTTTAATCCCAGCACTCGGAGGCAGAGGCAGGCAGATCTCTGAATTCGAGGCCAGCCTGGTCTCCATAGTGAGTTCCAGGCCAGCTGGGGCTACAGGGAGACCTTGTCTCAAAAAGACCTATAGAGGACCTGGGTTCAGTTCCCAGCAACCATATGGCAACTAAAAACTGTTCATAACTCCAGTTCCACGGGCTCCTACATCCTCTTCTGACCTCCATGGGCATTGCACATGGGTGCACTTACATATGTGCAGGCAACACACTCATACACATAAAATAAAAAAAGAAAATATTTATTTATTTATTTTGCTCTTTTTGAGACAGGGTCTCCCTATAGCCCCAGCTGTCCTGGAACTCACTATGTAGACCAGGCTGGCCTTGAACTCACAGAGATCTGCCTGCCTCTGCCTCCCAAGTGCTGGGACTAAAGGCATGCACCACTGCACCCAGCTGGGCTCTCTCTTCTTAATGCTGGCATTATCCTATGCAACATTATGTGTTTGTGTGTTCTGGTACTGTATATAACTTAAAGCATACCATTTTATCCATTTAAATGGACTTCTGTTGTACTGAATATATTCATATGTTGTGCAAAACTGTCACCACTGTCGATCTCTAAAATTTTCTCATCTGCAGCTGAAACTCTCATTCAACATTATGAGATAATGAAGTTGCACCCTGGCAGAGCAGCCTCCATGCAGTAGATACATACTAAATGCCAGTTCTCCTCTACCCTGGATGTTTTTCCACTTACAACTCGCCACTGAGGCTTCACCTGTAACTCTCTGTAATGTCTGTGACTAATCATAGACCACTTGGGCAGATGTCTTCATTTCCGGTTTCTGCTTCCCTTCCCCAAATCTGTATGCCAACAAGTTCAATTTCTAAGTCATTTTATTTTTATTTTAAACATTTGAATATATATTAAGGCTTAACACTTAATATTCTGAATATTTAGACATAAGCAAAACCTGAGAAGATATGCTGAATTTAAGTATATATTTGAACAGCCACAAAAATAATGGTAAATATGTGAGGTAGTGTATATGTTAATTAGCTGATTTAGTCATTCCACTGTATACAATACACTGTACATGGCAGTCGTATCCATAATTGTCATTATTTCCTAAACAATACAGTATAGCTATCTAGGCAGCATTTCCATTGTATTAAGTAACATAAATAAATCTGAGATGATTTAGTCTTTAGGATGCCATGCATAGGATCTATGCAAAGATTACACCACATCATATACAAGACTTGAGTATCTACATAGTTTAGAGTCTTAGAACCAGTCTCCCATGGATACCAAAGGATGGTTTTATAAAATTTTTATTTGTTAACAAAAAATATAAATGAAACGAAATGTATTTTTCCCTTCACAATAATGCTAATAACTGACTTTCAGTTTGCAGATGACATGTACAGTCTTTATGGTGGGAACGCAGTGGTGGAGTTAGTGACTATCAAATCATTCGACACATCCCTTGTGAGGAAGTCAAGGACCATCCTTGAGGCAAAACAAGAGGTGAGTGTGTTTTTAGATCTGCTTTAAAACTGAAATTAACTTAATTTTAAAAAATAAAGTTCTGGGGCTGGAGAGATATCTCAGTGGTTAAGAACACTGACTGTTCTTGCAGAACACCCAGGTTCGAATCCCAGCACCCACACGGCAGCTAGCAACTGTCTGTAACTCCAGTTCCAAGGGATCCAACAGCCTCTTCTGTCCTCCGCGGGCATTGCATGACACAGGTGTACTTACCTACATGCAAGCAATACATGCATACATGTAAAATGAAAATAATAAAATATTTTAACAAAAGAAAAAAATAAAATAAAATAAAAATAAATAAAAGATGGGCTAAGGAGCTGAACAGAGAGTTCTCAAAAGAAGAAATAAAAATATTTTAAAAAACAAAAAATAAAGTTCTAGGGGTCAGAGAGATTATTGGCTCAGTGGTTAAGAGCACTTGCTGCTCTTCCAGAATTTGGTTCCCCAGCACCTACATTGGGCAGTTCAAAATCACCTGCATTCCAGTTCCTGGGGATCCAACACCGTCGTCTGGCCTCTGGACACCAACACACATGTACACATACCAGTACACACATATAAATTTGAAAAAAAAATTTTAAGTCCTAGCCTAGCTGGATGGCTCAGTGGGTAAAGGCACCTGCCATCAAGCCTGATAACTGAGTTCAATCCCTATAACTCACATGGTGGAAGGAAAGAACTGACTCAAGTTGTCCTCTGACCTCCACACTCATGCCATGGCACACATGTGAGCCCACACACATACACACAGGAAATAAAATGTATTTTTTTAAAAAAAAAGAAATCCAAAGACAAGTGTGTTAGTGTAGGCCTACAACCCTAGCATTTGGGAGGTAGAGTCAGGAGGATCAGGAATTCAAGACCATCCTTAGCTACAGAGCAGGTTGAGGGCCAGTCTGGGCCAGGCTACACATGAGACCCTGTCTGAGGGAAAAAAAAAAAAACCTATTTAAAGTTGGCCTTGTCACTTGCAGCCGTCAGAGACCCAGTCATTTGTATTCCTTTCCCTTTCAAGCCATTTGCAGCCTGCTCCATGCTTAGCCTTACTGATCACAGTATAGACTTGGAGGAAGAGAACTGTAGCCCGTGCTAATTTAAGTCTAGAGATGACTGCCGTGAGATTGTTGCCTTCCAAATTGAACTGCAGTGAAGGAAGGATACCTGTTTAAGACAGCATTAAAGAGCCAGGTGTGATGGCACACACCTGGAAGCCCAGTACTCAGAAGGCTGAGGCACGAGGATTGTTGTGAGTTAAAAGTCTGCTTAAGCTACATAGCAAGACCCGGTTTCAATCGTGCCCCCAGAACAACCTTGTAGACCTGGACTTCCCCTCCCCATCCAGTTTCCACTATAAAACCTCCAGAAGTGTTAGGTAAAAATAAACCTTTCTATGTATATGGGCATTTTGCCTGCATGTATGTAAATGCACCCATGTCATGCAATGCCCGAGGAGGCCAGAAGAGGATGTCAGAGTTCCTGGAACCAGAGTTAAGAACATAGTTCAGCTCTCAAGGAAGAGATTTTACAGAGTAAGTGCTGAGAAGGAACCTGTAGTAAGCTCACCAGCTTAAGGACATTTGCCAGTTGGGGGTTCCAAGAGGCTTTGCCTCTCTGTAAGACTCTTACCAAACACTTCTATATGAAGCTGGGGAGCCAGGAAGAGCTGTGCCTTCAATGAAGGAGTAGAACAGCTTGCCCACCAGCAATAGGAATCAGGCACCCTGACTAAGGGTGGTCAGTGTATGTCTAGCAGTATCAACATCTTCAGAGGAGTCTTAGCTACAGGGCTCACTTCATATGGATTTGAGGCTTCAATTTATATTGCCTCACAAGTTCTCCAAAACCTTCAGGCAAGAAGTTATCATAAAACTTGGTCCCAGGCTGAGGCACCTCTATGGTATCTAACAGAAGTAACTATAAAACATTTGGTAAGCTATACCCTGAACGCACAGTGGACAGGGGAAACGAGTGAGACCGAGGCGGGGGAGCTGGTCCCCCGCAAACACAAACCCATAAATTCTAAAACATGAGCAGAGCTAATCAACCGTGGAGTTCACTTTGGCTGAAGCAACAAACATCAAAATCAGACCCCAAGAACTTCAAATAACATGGTCATAAGCCATAAAATAACACTTGAAACTGTGTGATGAATTGCATGTATTTTTTGGTGTGAAATAACCCTTGGAATGTCATTTCAGTCTCTGGTCCATACTTGCCATCAGTGTTCATCACTCCTCCATGCAGTGTCTGCTCTTAAGTGTGCCTGGGGTCTTGTCTCATGTGGTTTCTTCTAAGAGTGTGATGGTGTTCTCAGATGAGGTTGTGGTGAGGACAATACAACCTTATGTTGATTGATGCATATCACCTCAAAATGGGTATGAAAAGGAACCTATTTAGCAAACCTAAATAAATGCAAGGAAGAAGTCTTTAATGGTGTTGTCTCAACTTTGCGTTCCCCACAGGTAGATATGTGGATCTGTGGATTCACCCTTTCCAATTGAAATCACTGTCTTCTGTTACTTTAACTAGTGGTGAGAGTTTAAGGAATTAAGCCAGGCGTGGTGGCACACAACTATAATCCCAGCACTTTGGAGGTGGAGGCAGGGGGATTGTGAGAGCCACATCAGCCTGGGCTATATTAGCAAGTCACTGTCTCAATAAACCAGAAAAAAAGGGCTGCAGATGTAGCTCAGTGGTAGAGCACTTGCTGAGGGTACACAAGGCTCTAGATATGTTCCCTAGCACAGGGGAACAGCTTACAGACTTGTTTGCAGAGTGCCCACAGCATGCCAAGCGCTGGGGCTGTAGGGCACTGCCAGGTACCCTGCCCTGATATCTCCCACCTGACTGTGGTATCTCCCAGCTTGTCTCCCTGCTTTCCAGCTGGCCCTTCCCACATCACTCTATGTACTATCATCAGAATTATCTTTTTTTAAATCATGTTTTAACTTGATAAACCTAATCGTTTCACTCTCTGCCCGATATTGGTCAATGGTGTCTCTACTGCCTGTAGGTTCAAGTCCAGATGCTTATAGATCCCCTGCTTCCATCTTTGCCTCCTGCCATCAATCTACTTTTTAAATTCTCTAGCCAGAATGAATGAAGTTTCCCAAACGATGCCTTTGCCAGAATGAATTCAGGTTTTCATACAGTATAGACATGGACTTGATCCTCATCTCCCCAAGGCCTCGCAAATGCCACTGCAGCATTGAAAGAATGGCTGAAACACCACTTGTTTTCCACTTTAAGTAGCTCATACATACCTCAGTAGACAACCTTTAATTTAATTAAAGAATAAAAAATATTAACACTACGCAGTTTGAGAGAATGTTTGTTCCTTGGCAGTTCCCCTATCTTCTCCCTCTGCCCTCTCCTGCACAGAGGTAATTTCTATTCTGGATTTGTATATTTTTTATGGTGTTGGATGTGGAACCAGACCCTCATACAAGTGTTCTACTACTGACCCACACCCCTAGCCTGCTATCCTCACAATTATGTGAACCATTTTCTTCCCTTCTTTATAATTTGACTGTATGTGAATATTTTTTAGACTTGAGTCTCACTATGTAGCCGTGGCTGGCCTTAACTCATAGACATCCACCTGTCTCTGCCTCCTAAGTCCTGGGATTAAAGGTGTGCACACTATACCCAGCCCATGTATTTATTCTTAAATAGTGTTTGATTTCACCAGTATTTGAATTCAGTACAAATGGATTCCTACTCCATGGATTTTTCTATCTTCTTTGCTCAGAGTTGTTTTGAAGTCAGTCAGGCTGTGTCATTTTACTGCTCTGGATTCCATTGTCTGAACAGCTACAGCTTTATTCTTGTACATGTCTCTTGGTACAAATAGAGAAGTTTTTGTTAGGGAATGGGCTTACTGGATCACAGGGTCTGCAAACCTTCAGCTGCATTAGGCACCACTGAAGTTTCTCAAGCGGTTGGACTGGTCTTTCTTTTACTGGCAGCACCAGTGTCTTCTCCAGGAAGGCCCCTTCCTGGTTCTTCCAAGGACAGACAGGCAGCTCTTACTCCACTTATGAATGTGTGTTTGTTAGATAGTGACTCATAGCCACTGAACTGGAATGTATTTTTGAGACAGGATTTCAATATGTCACCTTGACTGGCCTGAAACTGTATGTACACCAGGCTGGCCTCAAACTCACAGAGACCCTGCCTCTGCTTCCTGAGTCCTTGGAATAGAGGCATGTTCCACCATGCCTGGCTATTTTTGAATGTTAAAATTCTTTCCTCTTGGTTTTCTTTTCCCTTCATTTCATTGCAGAACCCAGAAAGTCCCTATAACCTTGCATATAAGTATAACTTGGAGTATTCAGTGGTTTTCAACTTGGTATTTTGGATTATGATTGGCTTGGCTCTGGCTGTGCTCATCACCTCTTACAATATTTGGAACATGGATCCTGGATATGATAGCATCATTTATAGGATGACAAACCAGAAGATTCGAATGGATTGAATTTTCCATATGCTAGACTTAAGACAAGGGGTTTGGTAATTGGTTTTATTAAAATAAAAAATCTATTAGTGTGGTTTAAAGTAGACAGTATACCTTAAATTTATTTTTTAAAAAAACCACAAAATCTGTTCTCTATTTTGTGTGTGCCTGTGGGTTTTTTTTTCAGAATGAATTATAGTATTGATGTGAATTGAATTGTGATATAGATTCCATAATATGCTCGAATATTATTGATATGGTCATTTAATAAAGTAATTTCATTCCATGTAATACATTTGGAAATATGCACTGAAAGAAATGTAAACCACCTTAGAATAGTTACTTATGTTGGAAATGTACTGAATTTCTTAGAGAAGCTTTTGGATACTCAACTTCCTTGCACAGACTAGATGAATTCTGTTTGGGCTGTTATAGACTATGAACCATTTGTAAATGTCTTAGTCTGATGTAAATATCTAGGAAAAAAGAGAAAAAATTTAACTTAGAGCAGCCCAAAAATACTGGATGTGCTTGTACAATCGCTTAGTTTTAGAACTGTATGTGATTGGCAGGCTTGCTATTTCTTAACCTCTTCTACAAGTTTGGTGATCTGTATGGTTTAGTAGAGATATTAAAAATGTGACATTGATTTCAGAAGAGACTAGCTTTGTGGAATATAGATGCTTGTAATTAAATACACAAAAATGAATCTGTGGGGGACATGTTGAAGCATGAATATAAAATATTTTTATTTCAGTAACTTTTCCCCCCTGTGAAGTTATTATGGTTTGTGGTACAACTTCATTCTGTAGAATATTAAGTGGAAGTGGATGATTGCTACTTTTCATGTGGAAATGGACCAATGTCTATATAGAATGACAAATAAAGGTAATGATTCCAAATCTGTGTCATTTCAATACTAAATTTATAGTAGAAAAACCTAATTAAATAGACTTTTATTTCATCAGAATTGGCTGCTTTATTAGATAAAGAGTTTCATGCTGTTTTCTACACTTGCTTATCCTCACTGCCTCCTGGGATTTAGTACCAATATATGGAAGATATTTTAATTCCCATTCTTGTTATTGAACTTACACAGGATACATGTTAAATTCACACTCGACTATGTAGGAAAGGCTTCTGTTTTCCTGCAGCGTAAGATGAACAGACAGTTTTTTAGAGAATAAAGAACTTTCTAAGGTAAGGGCTTATGATTACAACTTTACTTCCTAAAGCACATGTATTTGAAAATTTCAACGCATGTTTATGTAGCAAAATTTAGTACTGTTATAGTGCTGCTCCCCCACCGCAGCCCCCTTTAGGGTCAGCTGTAGCTCATTCTGCTTCTTGGAAACAATCATCAGCTTATTCCTAAGCAACATTGAGTTTGGCATGTTTGAGGGGTCTGCTGTGTTTTCTACCACTTACTGCCAGGTGCTTTTGACAATTATATGTTAAATTTCCATACAGTAAAGGAAATTTTTGTTTTCTTTTTGCCTCTCATTGAAGGATAAGAGTGAAGCTTGTATCTTCACAGGAGACAAAGTCTCCATTGTTCTAAACCACACAAGTGTTCTCCATATCCACCCTGTACCAAGTTTATGAGTTTTCTTCTTTTTCTTTTAAAGATTTATTATTTTGAATTATGTATCTGTGTTTGGGCATATACACATGGTGCAGGTGCCCTCAGAGTCCAGGAGAGGGTGTTGGATACCCTGGAGCAGGAGTTACAAGCAGTACTGTGAGCCACCTGATGTGGGGGCTAGGAACTGAACTTGGGTCTTCTACAAGAGCAGTATGCACTCTTAACCACCAAGCCATCTCTCCAGCCCCCGAATCCATTTCTCCCTCACAACTATCTTACATAAACTTAGTCATAGAAGTTGGATTGTGATAATTAAATATGAAGTAAACCAATGCTTTTGGAATTTAAAACTGATGAGACTCTAAGTTCTAAGGGAAGAAAAAGAATAATTACATGACAACACTAATCCTTATAGGGTAAATGGCATCAGCATCCTATCTATGTTAGGCAGAAAGCAATTAATTAAAATAAATGTTCTGCCAAGATTATTATACCTGTTGCTGATGATTTGCTCTTAAATTAAGCCTAATTTGTTCGGGAACATAAATCACAGTGTGGAGATTTGTATGAGAGGCAAGGCAAGAAAGGCAGACTCACAGGGGACTGGTCTGCTGATGCTCAATGGGAGACAGGCTTACCATGTTGATGGAATAGCCCAGGTTTCTAAAAGATTGGAGATTCTGCATGGGGTAAATATTGTTGGTCTGACCCAAAGGAATAACAGAATTGATTTTTATTTTCTTTGGCCATGTTTTTTTTTTCAAGAATGATCATTTGAATCCATTTTCATTGATACAAAGTCATAGGAAAGCCATAAGCTATTTTTTTAAAGACATGGTTTCATATAGTACAAGCTAACCTCAAACCCCTGATCCTCCTGCCTTAGCCTCCTGAGTACTGAGTTTGTAGGTGAGTACCACCACCATAGCCAGCTCATAAGCCTTTTTGAGACAGGGTCTCATGTAGCCCAGCCTGTTCTCAAACTTACTGTATATAGCAGAAGCTGACCTTGAACTCCAGATCTTCCTGCCCCTACCTTCCAAGTGCTGCACTCTCACAAACGTGTGTGCCACCCAGCTGCATAAACTTACTCTCTGGCAAACAACTAATCAATTCTTTGTTGCAGTTCTGGGACTTTTATTCAGGGCCTGACACATGTGTGATAAATACCAGTGGAACATATTATATTCCTGGCTCCACTTTCTAGTGAGTGATTAAACCAACAATTTCATGGGCCATGCATGTGTGGTAGCTCACACCAGTTAACCCCAGCACTTGAGAAGCTAAGGCAGGAGGGTTGCTACAAGTTTGAGTCTAGCCTGGGTTACACAGCAAGTGTCTCTGCCAAAAACCCAGAAACAGATGGGCATGGTGGCACACACCTTTAATCCCAGCAGAGGCAGGGGGATCTTTGCAAGATTTAGGCCAGTGTGGTCTACATAGTGAGTTCCAGACCAGCTGGGGCTACAGGGAAACCTTGTCTCAAAAATAAAAACAGAAGGAACCCAGAAACAGAACCCCCCAGCAATTTCCAATGTCAAGTGCTTAATGCCTACTAAGTCACTCCCTCACAGCAGGCCTTCTAATGTATTTTAATAAAAGTTCCTTCCAGCCTTTTTGTGACACAATGACTTGAATTATGTGTCAGTTTCTTGGGAAAGTGGCCATCGGGGAAGCATCATTGTGATGAAATGCATCTACATTCATACAGATGAATCTAGTTGCTGCCTCACTTCCTAGCAAAACTCTTAATCTCTGAATCTCTGAGTTTTTAATTTATGTAATGGGGATGGTAATACCTCAGGTTTGTGGAAACTGGCACTCAGTGGGAAGCATGGTGTAAGATCTGTAGGTGCTTAATATAAACTACCAGAACAGTAGTGAGTTGGAAGAACTCTGGTTCCCACAATGCGCCACTGGTGGCTATTAACTGATTTCCTCCCCTACCCCCTGAAATGGCAAAACTAACTTAATTTTATTCTAGCTAACTTATGCCCACCCTGTGTTTCTGCCCAGCCCTCCTCCCCTGGTTGCTAACTGCGGCCAGCCAGGCAGAAAAGCCATGGAGGCTGCACCTGTAGATTCAGGGGATACATTGTTTCTATAATACTGGGAAACTTACAACTAGCTAGGTAGCACATCCTCTCTCTCCCGGCATCTCCATGGGGCTCACTGTTTCTGCAATTCTAAGAAACTTATTTTTCCTAACCAAAACTTTTTGTTAACTGAAAACCTCTTTGTTAACTGAACTGCCCCTGATCTAGGGTAACTATGGTGATCTGATGTAACTATAGTTATTGGCATGTTGTAATTTTGGTTTTAAGCTTTATAAACTTTGTTCTGCTTCTCCTCAGGGTCAAGAGTTCTTTTGGGCGTTAGCCTCCTCTCAACCACTGGCTATTAAAAGACTTTTAATTTGACTATCACTATGTGGTGTTCCTCTGTGCTTTGCATTCAGTATTAAACTGTTTTTTGTTTTTGTTGTTGTTTTGAGATGGGGTCTCACTATGTAGCCCTGGCTGACCTGGAACTCACTGTGTAGGGCAGGCTGGCCTCAAACTCACAGAGATCCGCCTGCCTCTGCCTCCTGAGTGCTGGAATCAAAGGCGTGCACCAGCACACCCAAATTAATAGCTGATTTCTTGCTTGTAAGCAAAGGAGCAAACCACTTCAGCTTTGCCAATTGTCTTATCTTTACTGGACCAGGATCCAGTCCAGGAGTACATGACCTAGTTAGCTGTCATGTCTACTCACTCTGCTTTAATCTAGGACAGGTGACTTTTTTTAAGGAATAGGACCCAGTTATTTTATAGATAGACTACCTCTCAATTGGGGTTTGATGTTTGCACATAATTAAATTGGAGTTATGGGCTGACATGATGGCGGCAAACACCTTTACCTGCTGAACCAAATCTGATCACCTGAGTTTAATCACTGGGATCCATTTGGTGGAAGGAGAGAACTGACTCCCACAGATTATCCTCTGACTTCTACACATGCGCCATGGTGTACACATCCACTTGTGTAAACACACACACACACACACACACACACACACACACACAAATTCTAAAGAATGTAAAAAAATAATAATAGGGGTTGGAGAGATGGCTCAGCGGTTAAGAACACTGAATATTCTTGCAGAAGACCCAGGTTCGAATCCCAGCACCCACATAGCAGCTAATGACTGTCTGTAACTCCAGTTCCAGGGAATCCGACAGCCTCTTCTGTCCTCTACGGGCATTGCATGACACGGGTGCACTTACATATAGTTAATAAAATATTTTTTTAAAAAATAATAAAAGACGCCTGTTACAAGAATTTTTCTCCTTAGTGGGGACATGAACATCTTCCCCAGCCCCTGCCTGCTAAAGTCCCAATGACAAAATATGTTTGATTCCATCACAGTCACCCTGGAAAACCAATGAGTTTATTGAACTTACTTAAAGAGCATGGGTGAGGGATTACTGATAGGAGCATGGGTGACCCCAAAGCAGCTGCACTGGAAAGTCTTCACCCACCCATTCATTGCCTTGGAGATGGAACCCCTTCTGGGAGCATTCTCCAACCTACATACTCCAGCACTTCCCTGGGACCCCAAGACCACAGGCGATTAGAATTGGAAGGAGTGACTGGATACTCAGGTGAGGGTCCAGTGACTCTCCCCATCCCTCATTTCTGTGAAGGAATGCCAGCTGTCAACACAGCCAGGGTGATCTTTCACAAACAGGCACAGCTGATGTTGTGAGGATGGAAGCTGTTTGGCTCAGAGGATACTGCTGCACACCTTTTTAAAATCATGCTTCCAGAGGGCTGGAGAGATGGCTCAGTGGTTAAGAGCACTGACTGCTCTTGCAGAGGACCCGGGTTCGATTCCCAGCACCCATATGGTGGCTACGAACTGTCCTTAACTCCAGTTCCAGGGGAATCCAAAGCCCTCTTCTGACCTCCGTGACATTGCATGACATGAGTGCACTCACATACATGCAGGCAATATACTCATACACGTAAAATAAAAATAATATTAAAAAAAAGTAGTGGCTGCTCTTGCAGAGGAGCCGGGTTTAATTCTCAGCGCATGGCAGCTAACAACCACCCATAACTCCAGGGGATCCAATGCCCTCTTCTGACCACTCAGTACTACATGACACAGGTGCACTTACACACAGGTGGCAATGCACTCATCATCCATTGATGATTTTTGCCTGACAATTATTTCTGTAGTGTTTGCCAAATGAGGATTTTCTATTTCTATATATTAGTTGGAATTTTATTTAAAAAAAAAAAGAAGAAGAAGAAGCCTTCCCAGCCAGTGTG